CAACCCTGTAAGGGTTTCCAAGGAGCAGCTGGTGAGCTTGAACCACCGACCTTGCAGTTCAAATGACTTTGCAGTCTGACGCATTAGCCCACAGCACCACACCAGGACTCCTGCAGTGTGTTAAGAGGATGATATTTTAGACTGGGTGAGGGAAATCCTCTGTTTAAGCAAATTTTGAGCAGAATGAATATACAAGTATGAGAGAAAGAACATTCTATGCAGAAGGAAGAGCTGGTAAAATGTCCTGAGGTGGGAACATGCTGGCACCTTGAAAAGCAACCAGGAGGTCTGTGTGACTGCAATGTAATGAGAAAGGGGGAGACTGATAGATAGGAGATGTGGTTAGATATGGAGCTGGGACCCACTCTATGGAAGAGAACTTACAGGTCAAGGCCAAGTGTCTCAATTTTTTTTTTGGGGGGGGGGTTTAGATGGAGGGTTTTGAGCAGCGGTCAGATATGATTTGACTGCCTTTTCTTAGGCAAATCATTCTGGCTGCTCTATGGAGAAGGGGATGACATTGCTGGCTTTAGCTAGAGTGGTAATAGAGCAGGTGATAAGAATTGGTGGATATTCAGGATTTACTTATGGATCAGGCATCATTTTCTGAGATAGGAAAAACTAAGGGAGGAGTATGTTTGAAAGAGGGATAGTTGAGACAATGAAATAGAAATATCTGGTAGACAGGAAGGAGAAAGGTCAAGGAAAACAGAGTATTGGTAGATATGGGTGTAGTGATGGTATCGAAAGCTATAGGAATTGCTGATATCACTCAGGGAGTAGGTGAAGGTTAGCAAATAGATGTCAGAATTGAGGCCTGGGACCTCAATACCTTGTGAACGGAAAGAGAAGATTAGTAAAAGGTCCTGAGAAAGTCAATGAGTGAGTTAGGAGGAAAATCAAGGCAGTGTGGTATGACAACAAAGATTCCAGACTTAAAGAAATAGACACAGATGAAAATCCTGGAACACTGATCTTCAAAGGAAAGTTTGCAGAAGTGAATTGAGTGATTGCTGGGAGGAGAGGTTGAGCAGGGACAACAAGAAAGGGAGACTGACATGGTGTGGCCATCTTGAACTGTTGTGAGCAGCTTTGACAACAGAAGGTGGCCTGGCAGAGCAGATTCACACAGGCAACAGGAAAGGCCCAATTTCTTCTGTTCTTTCATGTTCCCTTGGTGACCAGAGGTGTGGCCAGCTTCCACCCTCATCTAACCCCAACACAGACCCTATCTGCCGGGAGTTTCAAGCTACATGGTGGGAGATATGATAGTAACTCTTAGGTGTCTTGATGTGGTTTCTGGATTCAGGAGAACTCAGCTCCAGACCAGCAAAACTCGTAGAGCTACCAGAACAACATTTAATAAGCCACTCTGCTCCCATCTGCCCTGTGATCCTAGCAGATACTGAAACCAGCTCTAATAAGGGCCTCCATGAACTACTTCCTGGTTGATTGTCCTGAACATAGATAATACCTTGGCCTATAGGAACTCCAATTGGGACCAGGAACTCTGTTGTTACATCCCTCCCACGCCCACCTCATGATATCCTTGACTTGCAGACCCCCCCACCCTCCAGAGTTTTTTCCTCTCTGGTTCTAACAGCTGCATTGTTGTTGTTGTTTTTTTTTTGTTTCCCCCCGCCTTTTGTTGTTTCATTGATTTTGTTTAATCTTTCTCCTCTTCCTTCTTCTCCTCTTTCCAGTCCCTTGAATTTTATTCCTTCTGTCTCACTTTTTTCTCCTTCTTTTCATCTCTCTCTCATTTTCCCTTTTTTATTTTTACCCCCTTGGATTTTT